GTGTCTCCATTCCCGTGGCACTACGCGATCGCACGACTGTGATAAGCAAGACTCCAAAGCAAGACTCGAACAGACTCCAAGTATCCATCGTTTCAAGTATATCGTGTATCCCACCGAATGATTGCACAAGTTGCAAATTACTTCCGAGCGTTCTTACAGTCTTGAAATAGATTTGCGGTATAAAACTTGAGTTGCTCCAGAGAGGGAGCAACTCAATTTATATTTTTACTTCTCTGAATGTAGAAGAATGTAGAAAAAATCCTAATTTTTGCGATTTCAAAATCAATATTGTTTATAAAATTAACGTACAATTTCATTTAGACACACTGAGAAAAAAAATGTGTTCAACTAACTAAACATGTTTCGTTGTTTGCAGATTTGATTAATTCAACAAATTCTATTAAATAAAATTTATTGAATTAACGAAATCTGCAACCAACTAAATGTATTTAGTTTGTTGAACAAATTTGTTTTCTCAGTGCAGGTATTAGACATAAACTCTTTTATTAAAGTTATTTATTATTAAATGTAAACTCTTTTCGCGTTCGATGTCATTGAACATTGGATAATTCTAGAATTTTACTTTACTGCGATGCAAAGTTACTCCTGCCGGTGCAATTTAATCCCGTCCTGCGGTAACGTGAAACGGCAAAAATATATACAAGTAATATGATCGTGCGTTGAGAAACGACATTATAGCGACTGTCTGGTCGTTTCCGAATGGCATGCGCAAATTCTTAAAATCCCTCCTTTTAATACTTTCTTTGCGACGGGTTAATTTCTTCTATACACACGGAAAGCCGGAAGGGCCAGCTTGACGGCGGTGTTAACGAGTCGACGCGTCGAGGAAGAGACGTCGTAACGGGATGTAACGGTTGCAACTTTGTCCCGCGTGCTCGTGATGATCCCCGAGGATATTTCCTCGATCAGTCAGCGTGTACAAAGTGGCCCGACGTGATTGCGGTATCTTCAATGCAGGTCCTAACGAGCTACCTATTGCAAACCGACGAACCCCCTTGGACTTCGTACTTCGTCCGATACGCCGACGTGGTGAACGATCAGCGGGGAATGTCACACTTCAATTGGCCAGCGGGCGGCAGCAATTATCACGTACTTAGGACCGGCTGCTTCCCGTACATCAAGTATCATTGCAGCAAGCGGCCGATGCAAGATCTCAATAGCGAGGACAGATTCTTCAAGGCGATCAAGATATTGAACCTTGGTAGGTTGCAATGGTAGCCGGACGCTCGTGAAAAGGAATCCACGTTCGGAAAGGTGGCCTTGTTCATTTACGCCGCTCGGATGCGATAAACCGGCGAGCTCGTAAATCCTATAATTACCGCGAACACGAGATGTCATGGAATCCTCGATATTAATTTTATAAACGAGATTTTTTTTGTTTTTTTTAAATTTATCTAAGGTTATTACTTCAATTGCAGAGACGTACAGTGAAAAGAAAGTACTAAATTCTAATAAATATTTGTTTGAATAGTTCTGAGTAAATATTTACTAAATGTTAACATATATTTATTTAATAAAAAAAGATAATTTAATTTAACTATCTTTTTTTACTGAGTAAATATTTGTTTACTGTAACTAAATGTTTATTCCGTATACTACTCGAAAAACTATATATTAAGATTTAATAATTTTTTTTTAGTGTATCGATTATTTTTAACTCGTTGATGATGAAAGATAAAGGAAAACGTTTGGAAAATTTAGTTCAGTTAAATTTAATTAAATTTTTATTGCAGCGAAATGAAATTCTTATTTTCCTTTTTACAATCTTGATTTAAGAGTTGAGATCAAAGTTTTTAATATCGCAACAAATATATAGTATACTCGTATATATTTGTTGCGATATTATATACCATCTATTTATATATGTATAACAGCATCATAAAAATCTTAAAAAAATATATTACACACAGATTCGTAAAGAAATTCTTTTGCCACCAAGATTGGAAGTTCCGAGACTGTGTGAGACACTGTAAATTCACAGCTACCGCCGCTTGATTAATTGAATTCAGTCAGTATCTGACAACGATAAGTAAAGCAACGATCGGAACAAGGCGTCGTAACACAGACCGCGGTCTTATTCGATTTAATTTCCGACATACGAGAAGGGAACGTGGGACGACGAGCACGTTGTCCTTCCACAGCCAATGTCTTATCTCATTGAGTGCTCTACCAATCTGGAATTAGCCATGGCGAACGGGTTCAGCAATGCGACGACTTGATAATCCTCCTTTCTGACTTTTTGTCTTCTTACATTTGTTCGATGTACCAGGTATCCCTACTCTGATGTATGGACTGGCTGCGACGCAGCTTATCCGACACCGCGAGATCGTGAAGACGCCTCGGGGTGACGTGACGATCTATTTCTTGCTACCAGAGGACAAAGGTTCGCAGTACTGAGACTTGCACCCTACTACGCTAATCTGCGTCGGGTCTCACATCGTGGCCTTTCTCGGAGATGACATTAACGGCAACGAAATACAGAGTTGTACCAATGATTGTTGCTCCTTTTTTCAAGAAGCCTCCTTATTTCTCGTTATTCCATCGAGTTCCCAAGTACAAAACGGAAAGGGAATCGAGCGGCGCAAGAAACTTCCAACCGTCTGAACATTCTGCTTATCCATAACAGATGCGATCACTAATGTTAATTGAAAAAAATGAAGAAGCTGAAAATAGCGATTCTGAATAGTGTCGTTTTTCCTTGTAAAAGAATACGGTAGGATTTATCCAATGACAAAGTCAAGGAATTAGGATGTTAATAAACGACTAAATCTTGAAACAGATTGTTCTTTTCTTTTACTTTCATGATCGGTTTGCGGATGCGAAATGTATTTTTCAAGGAGGTTTCAAAACGTCATGTAAATCTCTAAATACAATCGCAAATAAAAGTTGAGCTAACAATGGAAAGTCAAGGTTCGCTTCATTATAAAATTATAAAAACTAGGTTTTTTTTAGTCATCTTTTTAACTCAATAGATAGCGCGTGCTAGTCATAGCGTCTCATCCATCAGTCAATTAGAATAGCGAAGGCTTTCATCAACGGCGACGCCAGTCACGTATATGAATCCGCAGGCTATCGCGATATTCTCGTGTCAGGCTTTAGAGGATCTAAACGCGAGCTCTTTAGAAACTTCGACGACGCGCCGATAATGCGAGGTCTCGTTAATGAGGATGGCCGCCGGCGATCCATGCGTGAAACAAGGTGCGAACGCACATATAGTTAGAACGGTTTTCTAATCGACTAGTACCGTGTTCCTCCCTGCAGCCAATGATGCATTAATGACTCGGCCAAGTAGTTCTCCGCTCCGCACCTATTACCGTGGAAGACGTGTGCGTAATATCGACTATGAAAATGTCTTCCGACCATTGAAATTCGAGATTTACGAGCGCACATGACCAATGCGCAATTATACAATAATTTGTATTGATCTTTAGGGTCGGGGCATGGGCGTAGCCAGGATTTTGTTTAAGGAGGGAGGCCCCCCCCCCCCAAATTAGAATTGAGACTTCCTTTTGAACCCTGGAAGGGAGAAAGGTAGTCGAATGGATTATTGGACTTGCTGTTTTATTTTATATTGTTATTTTAATTAATTGCTGGCAAGTAAATCACAAAATCATATATTTATTTTGCTACTTTACTTTATTTTTCTCTTAAAATTGTAAACTGATTTTTCGAACTAAAAGAACTTAAATTTATAACACTTCAGCCGTCTTGTATTCTTAAAAAATCTTTCTATAACTTTCTTTTTTTCTAAAATTAATTTTTTGCCAATGCTCATTAAACACAGTCTGTTTAAGCAGTTTTAATTATTTCTCTTTTTTAATATTTAGGAGATGGCTTTTTCCTACTTTCCGCTGAGCTATTAGTCTATTTTTTAAATCTTATAGCTTTTCCTGAATAGGATGTGATCATTCATTATTTCATTGTATTTCTTGCCTCAAAATATAACTTCCAGTACCACTATAATGGCTGTCTCATCCTGTGAAGGTTAATTAAAATCGATGCAATGCACGTGTTATGAATGTTATGCTTATCGAATGCATGTGTACATCTTAATTCGAATTGACAGATACCAGATAGCACATTGTCGCTTTAGATCATTTCTGAAAGATGCTCTCCAATAGTCATACAGATTCGATAAATTGTAGATTATCCGCAAGCAAACTTTGGTAACGTGCGACAATGTTAAAAATGACTCGCTTTAAACTTGGTAAAGAATCCTACAAATCTGTAATTCACATTCTTCTTAGACTTACAATTGTTTTTTACAAAGATAAAATATATTTCTAAGTTTCTAAACTCCTTATATTTCTGCAATTAAAAATTATTCTAACTATATAGGTTTGTTTTTTTATTCTTGCACTAAACCGCACTAAAACTCTTTTTTTCGCTTTCGCTAAATGTATATATCAAACATAAACCTATCTCACTTTACAAATTTTAAAAGTGTTCATTTTCATTCAATTAACATTAGTTCAATCACAGAAAACAAACTCTATATTACTTACACGTCTCTTTTCTAATCCGTTTTACAATTAAAATTGTTTTCTGTTTTATAAACATTGGAGAAAGAGAGAGAAAATTAAAAGAAAACTTTAAACTTTCTATCGTATTTTATAACATTTTTTTGTGCCTATCATTATATAATTTTACGCTTCATTAATTTTACTTCAATTTTTTCGAGCTTAAGATAATAAAATACTTTAAAACTGTAAATATCACGAGATTTTATGTACAATAGTTACAAGTATAACTAACGATCTGCCAACTATTAATACATGACTACCGTTCAAACATTAATAATGGTCTATCGTAGTAGTTTCTGCAACCGTATCGAATCTGGAAATGAAACGTGGTGAAAGTAAATGGAGAAAATCAGCAATGACCTGCGATTTTTTTGCGAACATATCAGGTTAAAAGCGTTATCAACAGGTGATATTTGAATCTTATGGAACCGGTGACAAAAATAAAAATTCGTTAGCAAACCGTCAAGTTATGCAATGACATCTCGGGTCTTTTCTCCGCGACATTTATAATTACATTGGAAAGTTTCTGTCGTTTCGAATGTAAAAGAACGACTTCCGTTGGTGACACGCGCACAGCGCACGCACTTTTCCGAATAGTCATTTATCATTTATCGATTACGTCGATAAACAAATAAAATAAATAAAAAGCCGAATTAAAAAAAGTATTAATTAGCGGTTGACTTTCACATTTTAACATATGTACTTTCACCGATCCGTACCTTTCCATCCCGTCATGGACGGCGTCTTCGATTTTCTTATTGTCTTTTCAGGACACGCAACAATATTCTCGTCTTCCATTAATGAGATGTAATCTGAGTAATATTGCGAGAGAGAGCGAAAAACATAACGATCGCATTATTTTCTTTCGAAGTATAAAGAATAGCTTTATCATAAAAACAATTAAGAAACATGAAACGTGCAGCTGTTTTCAGATACAAAATACCTACTTTGGTGTGTGTGTGTGTGTGTGTGTGTAAGATTCTTATTAGTAACGATATTTTCAAGTATCTAATAAACTGCGTAAGACTCTGCTAGAGTTCATAAAACATCACAGGATTGCATTGGTTGGATTTCACTGATAACGACAACAGTTCTGTCGCAGCTCGTTATATACATATATTCGCAATCTTTAATGAAATATCAATTGGAAAATATTAAGCGAAATAATTTTAACGAAAAGTCAATTTTTAAAATCTCTTGTACCGATTAACTTTTATCTCACTGATCAAGTCCCACGAACCAGTGCATTCAGGCATGACGATTATCAGTTGATTCAATTCGCAGAATTACTTGAGTGTTCAGCGCTCATTAAATTTGGTATCTAACAGATAACGAGATTTTCTAGAACGGTTTAAAGTTTTATAGCGACAGATCGGTTGAGTGCACTCTCGAGTTCCTCGCTCCAGGTGATCTTCTCGAGTAGGAGGATGAGTGGAACGAAAGACGAAGGAAAGAAAAAGAGAAGGATAGGGGAAGGTGGGAATTTTACGAAGCTCGTTAGGAACGTTGTGAAGGGCTAGTTATGCTGATTAGATCGAGTTTACATATCGTGAATGTGCAACTACACATATTAATGGTATCATCTCGGCGCGTGTAAGGAGCGCACGTTTCTGTCGGGACAGTAAGCCGATCGGCGCGGCGCCGTAAAAGTCGCAGGTTGAAAAGAACGACTTCTCGTTTTTGCAAGACAGGATGATGGCGATAACGATAACAAGGCTTAACCCTTGGTGAACGCCTTACCACGCCAATGCAATCGCTAAACAACATCGTGTAACGACGAAAGGCAGAATAATTGATAGGAATGAAGGAGACCCAATTGCAATCGTATTATTTCCTACGATTTCGCTTCCTGCACGCCCGTTATCCTTTCTAATCTAGAGCAACATTGTAAATATTGGAACGGATTTTGTGCAATTATTATATTTCAAATGTTCGTGATATTCAATATCACGAACAGCCTTGAATTTTATTAAGCTGTTAAATGTTTATCCTTAATTGAATTGAATTTAATATCTGTATTTTAAAAATATAGGAAATGCCCGCTAATCAAATAAGCAACATTAAATTTCTTTTTCTATTTTTCTCGTAAAAAATAATTGCATTTTTAACTTATTATCATGACAAATTCACATAATTATAATGCAGTAATTTGTCTATAATATCCAAAAATATCAGAATAAACAAAAGAGTAACAGTCGTATAAAAAATAATTTAAGTTATTTTGTATAAACATTTTATAATTTGCAGTCTCTTCGCTGTCAATTCTTTCGAAAATTCATATGCTTCTTTGCTGGATTTAATATGTGCATAAGAAGCTCATGTATTATACAATTCCATGTTCGAAGCAAACGAGAGAAATTCTCGGAGCGACATATTTGCATCACACGCAATTAATTTCGCGCGAGGCTTCACAAGCGTGCTACATTTGCATGTCCCGACGATCGTGGCGCTATTCTAAAGATAGTGTCTGCTTGTAACCAGGAATCCACGGCGATATTAAACGCTTCAATAAGCTTCGATCGCCCCGACGTCGAAAAATGTGCGGGACAAAAACTGTGAAAGTATTATGAATATAAAACAGTCGTATTTTAAAGTAGCTAAAGCAAGTAACTGGTTTTAGATAACTTAATTATTTAGGCGATTTTTAACAAGTAATAAAAAATAAATTAATGGCAAATCAAATTTTCACGAATTCAATGCTCTCTTTCTCTGTCAGAAAAATTCCTTGCAGAGCAATTTTTGATAGATTCGACTTTCATGCTGAATTGCGGAAATTTAAGTTCATAGGTATATAAGTTCCGTAACAATAAACTGATTGAAACTGGTAAACTGATCAAATTATATAGAAATATTTATTTCTGTATATTAAAAGGGTTTATATTTGACTAATCTTATTAAAGTGAATTCACCTGGTGGCAATCATTCTTGCCCCCGTGACCCGAAAATACGACGTACGCGTACTCACTCAGCGAATACCTCACAGCGGGATATGCAAAGTCATCGTACTTTTGTTTTCGATTCGCAAAGCTACCTGCGTGACGTTGCATTTGTCGCATACTCGCAATTTCGCTCGAACCTACTTTTCGATGCAGAAAGAAAAGCTAAATGGAGCAACGCACCGTGCAAAATAAATAACGCTCCGGAACATAAGAGATAACATCAACACAGCCACATCCATCCGGTGAAGTGCAGATATATAG